ACTGTTAAAAGAACTCTTACTCTGGAGTTGTCAACGTGTATTTGTTCCTCCTAACAGAAGTACTAGTTCAACTCTGAAACTACTATAATAACACATTATAGTAATCTCAGGCAGGTAGTTCCACTGGAAACTTTGTTATAAACTATACCTGTTGGAACAAATATTTTATAACCTTTATTCCGCAGCATGAATATTTTTTCTACTTCGAAACTTTTATTTCGTGACAGAGTGACAAACCAGAAAATTTCAGTGTCAGGTTTGTATTAGTTTGATTATAAAAAGTGCCTTTTTATTATTGATACAAGTTAGTATGATATGACAAATACAAAAATTTTAAAATAGAACGAAAACTTACTTTCACCAATTAATTATTATGCAAAATCAATCCAAGACTGCACAAGTTATTGTACAACATGCGAACAAACTAAGAAAACAATGTATCTTGTGTACCTCGTAGCTAAGGGCCCGTAACTCTGTAACCACAAATCAATATACTGTCATCAATCCCAACAATAGTGCAAAGTTTTGGGGAAATCAGTCCAAAAATACTAGAGTTAGTATATAAGTCAAATGTGAAAAATTGCCTTCATTTGACGATTATTCGAAGTCTTGTTACAACTCTGGAACGTCACCATGGACACTATCAAACACTTTCAAATTCAAAAGGGTGCTTTCTTTCGTCAATTTTAAATGTTGTGTCAAAAGGCCAATCTATGGTAAAATCAAGCCTCCATAAATTAGTTCTTAATTTGATAAACGATGACAGTAGATTGATTTGTCGTTCCTTAATTACTAGATACATCAGATACATTGTTGTCATAGATTGTTCACAAGGTTGATACATGAACAAATTTGAGTTGATGTACTGACGGACGGACTACGATATACCTTGATAGGATTTAAAGCAAAATTAACCTCAATTTCAAAAGACATCAAACTTGTTAAATCAAATAAAAATTCGTCATCAATGTGTTTTGTTTTATGTCTTGTCTCTAGAGTTCTGATCGACACTTAAAGCATTACTACCACGTGATTATTACATATACCATATTCAATAAGGTATATCACAAGTGTGTTCATGTTGCTGTGAAAGTTACCAAATTCACTTTTACCACATGCACATGTGCACCACAGCATCAATCATGAATCCATGCCAGTACCAAACTCACTAAATCTTTGACCACATAGACATGATAAACTACATTTGATATGGTATATCATGACAATTCGTATGTCAAGGCCTGTTACCGAATTCACTAATTAAAAGCTTGTATCACATATACATGTGGCTGTGTGCCAAAGCACCAATTATGAATCCATGACAGTAACCAAACTCACTAAATCGTTTACGACCTATACCACATTTCATAAGGTACATCACGACCACTCATATATCCAGGCTAGTTACCAAACTCACTAAATCTTTTACCACATATACCACATTTCATAAGGTACATCACGACCACTCATATATCTAGGCTAGTTACCAAACTCACTAAATCTTTTACCACATTTCATAAGGGACATCACGACCACTCATATATCCAGGCTAGTTACCAAACCCACTAAATCTTTTACCACATATACCATATTTAATAAGGTACATCACGACCAATCATATATCCAGGCTAGTTACCAAACTCACTAAATCTTTTACCACATATACCTCATTTCATAAGGTACAGCACGACCACTCATATATCCAGGCTAGTTACCAAACTCACGAAATCTTTTACCACATATACCACATTTCATAAGGTACATCACGACCACTCATATATCCAGGCTAGTTACCAAACTCACTAAATCTTTTACGACCTATACCACATTTCATAAGGTACATCACGACCACTCATATATCCAGGCTAGTTACCAAACTCACTAAATCTTTTACCACATACACCACATTTCATAAGGTACATCACGACCACTCATATATCCAGACTAGTTACCAAACTTACTAAATCTTTTATCACATATACCACATTTCATAAGGTACATCACGACCACTCATATATCCAGGCTAGTTACCAAACTTACTAAATCTTTTACCACATATACCACATTTCATAAGGGACATCACGACCACTCATATATCCAGGCTAGTTACCAAACTCACTAAATCTTTTACCACATACACCACATTTCATAAGGTACATCACGACCACTCATATATCCAGGCTAGTTACCAAACTCACTAAATCTTTTACCACATATACCACATTTCATAATGTACATCACGACCACTCATATATCCAGGCTAGTTACCAAACCCACTAAATATTTTACCACATTTCATAAGGGACATCACGACCACTCATATATCCAGGCTAGTTACCAAACTCACTAAATCTTTTACCACATATACCACATTTCATAATGTACATCACGACCACTCATATATCCAAGCTAGTTACCAAACCCACTAAATATTTTACCACATTTCATAAGGGACATCACGACCACTCATATATCCAGGCTAGTTACCAAACTCACTAAATCTTTTACCACATGTACCACATTTCATAAGGTACATCACGACCACTCATATATCCAGACTAGTTACCAAACTCACTAAATCTTTTACCACATATACCACATTTCATAATGTACATCACGACCACTCATATATCCAGGCTAGTTACCAAACCCACTAAATATTTTACCACATTTCATAAGGGACATCACGACCACTCATATATCCAGGCTAGTTACCAAACTCACTAAATCTTTTACCACATATACCACATTTCATAATGTACATCACGACCACTCATATATCCAGGCTAGTTACCAAACCCACTAAATATTTTACCACATTTCATAAGGGACATCACGACCACTCATATATCCAGGCTAGTTACCAAACTCACTAAATCTTTTACCACATATAGCACATTTCATAATGTACATCACGACCACTCATATATCCAGGCTAGTTACCAAACCCACTAAATATTTTACCACATTTCATAAGGGACATCACGACCACTCATATATCCAGGCTAGTTACCAAACCCACTAAATCTTTTACCACATGTACCACATTTCATAAGGTACATCACGACCACTCATATATCCAGGCTAGTTACCAAACTCACTAAATCTTTTACCACATATACCACATTTCATAAGGTACAGCACGACCACTCATATATCCAGGCTAGTTACCAAACTCACTAAATCTTTTACCACATTTCATAAGGTACATCACGACCACTCATATATCCAGGCTAGTTACCAAACTCACTAAATCTTTTACCACATATACCACATTTCATAAGGTACATCACGACCACTCATATATCCAGGCTAGTTACCAAACCCACTAAATCTTTCACCATATATATATATATATACAAGTCTAAATTGAAAACAACGTTCAAACCTATGATTGCGTTGGATAAAAACCGCAATTTTTATACGTGTGCATGTAAAACAAATTTCTTGGTAGAGGGGTCTAAATACAGCACAAACAACATTTTCTAAAAGACCAAAAAGTGAAAAAGTACATTTTAACAAAACGCATTTGACTAACAGGTCGAACAACTGATGTTCTTAAACCCTGCTATCTGTCATTGGCGATTGCCAAATAAACGGATCACCGATGTAATAAATGGATCTTAATTATAAATCTAATACTAAACAGAAAACAATAAACTTGCGGAAAAGATGATATACCGCAAACAAAAGGTGCAAAGGCTTTTGTACACCATATCCGGATTTCGACAATTAATGTCTCTTCAGTGATGTTAGGAATCGAAACGGTATTTGGAAAGCCATACAATTTACCTCAATTTAGGATAGACTCTTGAATTTTGAGGAGTCAAAAAAGGATGATCGGATCATATAAACCCGAAGGCAAATATAATACAAGCCCAAACGAAAAAATATAAACAAGTCTAAATTGAATCCAACGTTCAAACCTATGATTGCTTTGGATAAAAACCGCAATTTTTATACGTGTGCATGCAAAACAAATTTCTTGTTAGAGGGGTCGAAATACAGCACAAACAACATTTTCTAAAAGACCAAAAAAGTGAAAAAGTACATTTTAACAAACCGCATTTGACTAACAGGTCGTACAACAAATGTTCTTAAACCCTGCTGACTGTCATTGGCGATTGCCAAATAAACGGATCACCGATGTAATAAATGGATCTTAATTATAAATTTAATACTATACAGAAAACAATAAACTTGCGGAAAAGATGATATACCGCAAACAAAAGGTGCAAAGGCTTTTGTACACCATATCCGGATTTCGACAATTAATGTCTCTTCAGTGATGTTAGGAATCGAAACGGTATTTGGAAAGCCATACAATTTACATGTACCTCAATTTAGGATAGACGCTTGAATTTTGAGGAGTCAAAATAGGATGAACGGATCATATAAACCCGAAGGCAAATATAATACAAGCCCAAACGAAAAAATATCAACAAGTCTAAATTGAAAACAACGTTCAACCCTATGATTGCGTTGGATAAAAACCGCAATTTTTATACGTGTGCATGCAAAACAAATTTCTTGTTAGAGGGGTCTGAATACAGCACAAACAACATTTTCCAAAAGACCAAAAACGTGAAAAAGTATATTTCAACAAACCTAATTTGACTTATATATCACACATTTAATAAGGTATTCACGACCACTCATATATCCAGGCTAGTTACCAAACTCACTTAATCTTTAACCACATAAACCACATTTAATAAGGTAACCACATTTATCATGTTCATAGGTTGTATCCTTATGTGTTCTCGTGTATGTTAGTAAGTAACCAAGTTGACTAAAACTTTATCACATACACCACATTTAATAAGGTGAATCAACAGTTTGTAAACCACATTCATCATGTTCATAGGTTGTATCCCTATGTGTTTTCGTTTATGTCAGTAAGTAACCAAATTGACTAAAACTGTTATCACATACATCACATTTATAAGGTGAATCACCCGTGTGTGTTCTCATGTGTCCCTGGAAATTACCAATATGACTTAAGCTTCTCTTATACATCACATTTGTATGGACGATCTCCAGTGTGTATTTTAATGTATGTTTTAAAGCTACAACTGCGACTGTAAGCTGTCGCACAAACATATAGTTTATAAGGTTCATCATGGGTGTGTGTTCTCATGTGTGCCTGCAATTGCTGATTCTGAAGAAACTCTATCACATATATCACAATTATGCGATTTATCTCCAGTATGTATTTTCAGGTGTTTATGATAAGAACTGTTGTCAGTATATCTTCTGCCACATATATATCACATTTTTAAGGTTGTTCTCAGGTATGCGTTCTCATGTGTCTGCGACAAGAACTACTGTAAGTAAACCTTCTACCACATTCATTACAATTATAACGTTCTCCAGTATGAGTTCTCATGTGTCTCTGTAAGTCTCCAGTTTGGCTAAATCTTTTACCACATTTAACACATTTATAAGGTTTATCACCGGTATGAGTTCTCATGTGTCTATGTAAATTTGAACCAAGACTAAACCCTTTACCACATATATCACATTTATAAGGTTTATCACCAGTGTGTGTTCTCATGTGTCTCTGTAAGGTTCCAGTCTGAGTAAATCCTTCACCACATATATCACATTTATAAGGTTTATCACCAGTGTGTATTCTCATATGACTCTGTAAACTTGAACTATAAATAAAACCTTTAGCACATATATCACATTCATATGGTTTATCTCCAGTGTATGTTCTCATGTGTCTATGTAAGGGTCCAGTCTGACTAAATCCTTTACCATATGTAACACATTTATCAGGTTTATCACCGGTGTGTATTCTCATGTGTTTCTGTAAACTTGAACTATAAATAAACTCTTTAGCACATATATCACATTTATAAGGTTTATCACCAGTGTGTATTATCATGTGTCTCTGCAAATCTGAACTATGACTAAACCCTTTAGGACATATTTCACATTTATGAGGTTTATCACCAGTGTGTGTTCTCATGTGTCTCTTTAAGTTTGAACTAGGACTAAACCCTTTACCACATATATCACATTTATGAGGTGTATCACCAGTGTGTGTTATCATGTGTCTCTGTAAGATTGAACTCTGACTGAACATTCTACCACATATATCACATATATTAGGTTTATCACCAGTGTGTATTCTCATGTGTCTCTGCAAATTTGAACTATGTCTAAACCCTTTACCACATATATCACATTCATTAGGTTTATCATCCATTCTATACAGGTTTGACAGTTTCCTCCAGCATGAAAACTAATGTGTTCCAATTAAAACTGAACTGTATTTCGATCAAGGGACGTAATACCAATTCTATCTGAGTTTTTGTGGTCCGACAATTTATTGGTTTCTGTACTTTCTTGACCTTTTTTTCTCTGAGTGGATCTGGACTCTTAAAAAGAGAAATTAACTAGTATAATAACATTTGTTTTTAGATTTTGATATTTATATTTCACACACTGGAAAAATAATACAAAACTTCACGACAAAAGAGACGATTTTTTGTCCCGTTAATATTTCATTTTTTGAACAGCACACTGTATATATGCCTGTCCCAAGTCAGAACCTTGTATTTGGTTGCCGTTTATTGATTGATATCATCACTCTGACCGTTTAGGTTTTTTTTTTTTTTAATTGTTTCACATTTTTCATATCAGGTCTGTTTTAAAGCTACGGTATGGGTTTTGCTCATTATTGAAGGCTATATGCTATAATAGTGGCATACATTTGCTTTAATCCCGATTAATAAACGTCTACCAACTCGCCCCAATTATGAGAAAAGAATTAAATTCCGCTGAATTTTGGCCTACCAATTCGCCCTACTCATGAAAAAGAGTCAAATCCCGCTGAATTTGACCCTTCCAAATCGCCCCACTTATAAAATGTACTTTAATCCCGTTAATTTTAGGCCGACCAACTCGACTAACTATCATGACTGTTGAAAAAGTAGTTTCATTCGGATGAATAAAGGTTTTCCAAAGCATCCCACCTATGACAAAATGATTAAATCCCGCTAAATTTAGGCCCACATTTGAAAAGTAGTTTAATATTAATCCGATGGATAAAGGCCTCATATCTCACTGAATTTAAACCTGCCGTTTTCCCCAATAATTAAAAGGCCTCATATCCAACTGAATTTAAACCTGCCATTTTTCCCAATAATTAAAAGGCCTCATATCCCATTGAATTCAATTCTGTCGTTTCCCGCCAATAATTAAAAATAGATTATCCCGCTGTATTTTTAATTAAAGACATGCCAACTCGTCCGATTCAGTACCTCCATCTAACGGGATAGATGGAGAGAAGAGGAGTCATACGAGATTAGCCGATTTTTTTTTTATTCATTAATGAAAGTAAAATAGTGAAACAAAAATTCGCTTATAGCAGCCAGTTAAGTTCAATTTTGTCAAAATAAGATAAGAAACATTGCTGCTGAATTATTCACTTGCAAGTGAATAATTCGACCTCATTGAATCCGTTTTTATGTGACCTTCAGTTTAACCCCGTAGCTAGAGATTGGTTTCGCATGTATTTATGCGTGTTCAGTCATTAAAAGGAAAAGAATGTCAACATTGAAAATGAAACAAAGGTTAATCATTTCATTGACTGATTCGATCCACAAAAAAAAAACATTATGTCAATAATGTCAACGTATATTTTCGTTTCCTGCTTTACCAAGTGTGTAGAATCTAGACGCTACCGTGTTTTACCTCCAAATTGAAGAGTTCAAGTGCTACCATTGGTCAAGAATAATGTATAAGAATGGGCGTGACTTTAATCTACCGATAGATGGCGCAACATTGTTATCACAAATGTTGGCTTAATCTGCCAAGGGTGGAGAGGAGGGAAGTGGATCGTAAACCTTGGCTAGCGATGATGTGTACAACAGGACCTGTACAAACTAGTTCAAATTCTTGGAATCCCGGATGACGTAATTGAATCTGATTGGCTAAGATAGAATAGGATGAAGGGATTTTCCACTTTCTATTTTGGAAACGCCAAAAATTTTTTGTTACTAGTCCGTCGGGCATATTGGGTAAACATTTTGATTGCCCGAGGCGTAAATACTCATGTCCCGGGCGTCGGGCTAGTGGATTTTTTAACCCCTGGGTCGAATTATTCACTTGAAAGTGAATAATTCATCCTCAAAGTTTCTTAGCTTATTTTGACAAAATTGAACCATACTGGCTGCTAAAAGCGATATATTATTTCACTATTTCACTTTCATTAATGATTGAATAAAAAAAATCGTATAGTATATTTTTTTTATATATCTCGTACCTAGTGCCCCTTTAATTGTTTATTTCAGACTTAATTTGGATATACGTTTTAGTATGATATAAATCAAATATGAGAATTTGAGTCAAATCGGTGAACATGACTTTGACAGCTAAATGCCTCTTTAAAGATACATATTAATCAAAGAATCGTTTTGTGTGTTGTATATATATATATATATATATTAGACTTGTTTATATTAAACTATAGATATTCCTGAAACGAATTGTGTTTTGTTCAACACTAATTTCGTCTGTTCCAAATAAAACATGTTCTATGGAAAAAGCAACTAAGTGTTGGATATTTTCAAAGAGCTGATTTCTAAAATTTATTTGAAATTCTAAGAAAAAATGAATTGAATCTTCTAATGGACATCCACAAGTACAACTTGGGTCATTTACTAAATTAACTCTGTATAAATCAGCTTTTAAGGGACTACATCTGTGTCGTAATTATGTATGCAACAGGGGCGGATCCAGCCATTTATAAAAGGGGGGGGGGGGGGGTTCTAACCCCAGGATAAAGGGGGGGGGGGGGGTTCCAACTATATGTCCCTATTCAAATGCATTGATCGTCAAAAAAAGGGGGGTTCCAACCCCAGGAACCCCCCCCCCCCCCCCTGGATCCGCCACTGTGCAATATGTTTTCTATCCAATTTCCAATACGGTAATATTTAGGTACCAAAAATTAAATGTCATTCCGCCGGATTGTATTTTTAAAATTTGAAGATAATTGAATGGATCTAATATCTAACGGCAATAAATTCCATGCACGAATTGAGGAAGGGAAAAATGATTTAGAAAACCTTAGAAAGGCAATTTGGCTTTTTTACTTCTTTTCTTTTCTAATATTAAAAGTGTTTTTTTTTTGTCTGTTGTTATTTTAGCATTACAGTTGGGGCGATTGTGTAGATTAAATCCGATTTTTATTCCTCTGTATTAAACTACTTTTCATAAGTGGGGCAAGTTGTAGGCTTAAAATCATTGGGATTTTACTCTATTTCATAAGTGGGGCGAGTTGTTGGTCCTATATTTAGCGGGATATGACTTCTTTTCGTTACTGGTGCGGGTTGGCAGGTACAAAATTAGCGGGATTTAATTCCTTTTCAAAAGTGGGGCGAGTTAGTAAACAAGAGTGGGGTGAGTTGGTCAGGGGTGTCTGACCGTGATTTGGTATTGGGACTAGTTATCTTGCTTCCTATATTTTACCGTATATCGAGTTTTTTTCGTGTCGACTTTTTTCGCGATTTGATGACAAAATGGGCAGGTTAAATTTTCAATATGACGATTGTATAATTTTTGCTATTAAATGGGAAAATACACGCGAAAAAAAATCACCGTATTGTATCGTTATTTAAGATGTAAACAACATAAAATTAATCAACTGACAAATAATCGATTACAAATAAATACAAATTCTACAAACTAAATTGAAAATAAACAAAATTCGGAGTTCGAATTATGACAACAATCAATTATAGATGTCGTTAATTGACATTTATGAACATGTCACTGATTGCTGTGTTGTCAAAAGGTACATCCTGTATTATTAGCCAATTTAATTATTAAAAAAACAGACATCCTAATTAAATATGCACATTCTTGTATCTGTTGATCAATATAAAAGACTGACTTTATATATAATGTAATTATTTTTAGGATGAAAATGGGCTTACATATCAATTTATTGTATACTCGATAGTTAACAGTATAATGAATATATATATACATTGTATACATGTATGAAACGCTTACAAAACGACAAATCTTGGAATTAACAGGGAAATTTACGTGGGGTTAAATTTTCGCGTTTCTTTAGCTGCCGCGAACAAAGCGAAAAATAAACACACGCAAAAAAATTCCCGATATACGGTAGTTGGGCGTTCCATAGATACATTTCTTCACCATGTATCCTTATTTATAATAAAAACCACATTCTATCAATATATATATTGTTCAGATAGATACGATATTAATCGTTTATGGCAACGAATGATTGCTTCAGTCAGAGAGTGTTTAACGATTTTCTTTGTAAATTCTAATATTTTACTTTAATTACTTATAATAATAATTAAAGTACTGTTTCATGGTTGATGTACCCTTCTGTAGGCCAAAGTACAGCGATATATTACTTAGACAAATTAGAGCACCAGATTAAGTAGTTTTGACCTTATAGGATCAGGATCAGGATCAAGGCAGATATGCATAAACCTACTTAAGTTAAGGTTCATGTGGACCCTATAGCTAAAATGGCTGTGTTTTCACTTCAAAATCTACTCTGTGTACAGACAAACCTGTGTATCTGGAAAAATTTTAAGGCATAGCATGCCCTAGATAAATAAAATTCAAATGCATTGTATGTTTTAGAAAATTTAAAACTTAACTGAATTTTGCAGTGCACTTTTTTTCGTCCCTGCAGAAGATGATAAAATTAACAAACAGTTGAGTTTCACTTGATATGGTCCACTCAGGTACACAGTTTGAAACACCAATTATTGTCACGTATCTATTGTCCACCTATTGTCCATTTCAATCAATACAGTTCACTTCAATTATTACCTGTGGGGAAGTTCTCAAACCTCTTTCCCAACTTAGTTTATTTTGGCACCTTCTGGAGGAATGAAAAAAAGTGCACGGCAAAATCCTGTTATTTTTCTAATTTTCTCAAACATAGATTATATTTGAATTTTATTTATCTAGGGCATGCTATGCCTTAAAACTTTTCCAGATACACAGGTCTGTCTGTACACAGAGTAAATTTTGAGGTGAAAATGCAGCCATTTTAACCAAAGGGTCCACATGAACCTTAAGATTTTTCCGAACGGACGGATTTATCCACATGTCCTACGATAAATTAGTACTACGATTGGATACATGTATCTTAAACTTAAGTGGTTTTATGCATATCAGCCCTGGCCTTTGTAATACGAAATTTTCAAAGTGTAACAACATAAAAATACCTGTATAATAAAAAGTGAAGTGCCATTTTGTACATATACCAAAGGGAAACATTGTTCAAAGCAATACTGTTAAATATTTCATTGTATATAATGGAAAACGGGGATTTGGTGTCAAATAAAGCCAAGATTTTTGCAAAAAATCCACAGATTTTATTAGAGACATTTTCGTTATAAAAGTGTAAACATAGATTACTCACTTGTTTGTCAATGATGTGCTAGCGTTAAATGTCTACAAAAAGTCATAAACAACCTTCACAAAAAAAAAAAAAAAAAACAGAACAAAAAACTCGTGCTGGGCCACTAAAGTCGAGCGCACCCAAGAAGGTGTACTTGATAAGCATACGTTTTGATACATTTTTTTTACTTGTTTTAACCAATATCTTTATATATATATACTTGTTTTATGAAAATCATTGCTAGCACTGCATGCTATAATCCTCTATCTATTTAGCACCGTATTGTCAAATATAGGAGTACAAGGGGAAAGGCTGTGGATTTAAAAAAAAAATCATGGTTAGCATTGGAGCAACAAAAGGGTACATATCTAATGTAGTGTTTTATAAAGTTCTTTTGTTTTGCAATTCGGTTAGAACTACAAACTGGCATCAAATATCAATGAGCATCGTCTACTTACAAGTTTAACGTTTCTTGAACCAAAAACAAAAATAAGTCATGTAAGTTTTACAGCTTGATAACAACATTACCGCAGCCTGACACAGGGAGATAACTGAAGTTTTGTAACAGGAGGAGGTCGGTGTCGACACCTCTCGGGACGTGTCGTGGCTAGTACTTCGTCCCTATTCGATCCACAGGATACCTGATATCAGCTTTTGACAGAATAGAGACACACATCAAATATAACTCAACAATTTCAATGAATTTATTTACAAATGTATAACATTCAAATAAAACATAGTCAAATGATATAAAAAATAGGGATGTCAACTCGGTTAAGATTAACTAAGGTACAAATTCTGTCCCATTAAAGAACTTCTATGTAAAAACACCGTAGATATGCTGATTGTAGCAGAAACAAAAATAGAAAACTCTTTTCCAGACGCTCTATTTAAGTTCGATGATTACCACTTCTGCAGCCGGTTGTACGAACGTGGCATTAGCCTAATGGGTCATTAAGTCTTCATTAAGCCTTTATGATGCATTAGACTAATGAAGACTTAATGAGTCATTAGACTAATGACACGTTCGTACAACTGGCTGCTGGAGGAAAGACCGAACATCTCATGGTGGTGGACTTGTTATGTATGTTAGATCTGACATAGCATGCGACAGAAAAGAAAAATATGAACTTAAATTTACTGAATCAATTATGGTAGAAATGCATATTAATAATAGAAAATGGTTAATTGCAGGACTTTATAGACCTCCTACAATAAAAGATGATAATTTTAAAAATGAGTTTATATGTACATGTCATAAATTATCAACCATTTATGATTATATATAGATTCTACCACTGCATCGTGTGTGATACGATATTTATCCACTCGAGACAGTTAAAATTTCAAATTTAAAACGCGAGGCTCGCCGAGCGTTTTAAATGTTTAAAATTTAACTGTCGAGAGTGGATAAATATCGTATTACACGAGATTTGGTGGTGGAATCTGTTTCTCTAATGATTTTCAAACAATATGCAGGCAAATTTATTCCTTCTTTTTGAATGATCTGCAAAAAGATGTGTTCTTTCTATGTGACGTCATCAGGCATGGTCGCCTTTTTTCATGCCGTCACAATAGGAAATTCAGAGGAAAGCAAGAAAATTCGACGTCATAATCGGATTTTAACCAATGAAGAACTGAGATCAAACGAACCACACGTTGATTAAATTTTTTTTATACAATGGGTGCAGAAAGGGATAAATTGACGGGAAATAATGTTCTTCTACTAGATGACTTAAATTATAACCTGCTCTCCCAGCAAAAATGTACCCCCTACATGATATCTGTGATATTTTTGATTTCACAAATTTGGTAAATAAACCAACTTGTTTCGCATAACATGCCCCTGCTACCTTAAATGATGGTATTCTTACAAACCAAACAACTTATTGTCAAAACATTTTAAATTTCAACTGTGGTTTGAGTGATGTACATAACATTATTTCCACTCAAATTAAGGGCAAACTACCAAAAATAAATAAAGGTTTTCATAAATTACAGAAGTTTCAAACACTTTGATCAGGAACATTTTTTGACAGATTTAAATGGAAAAAACTTAACTGCTATGATAGAAGAATCAGCAGATGTTAATACAGCTTATGACACATTTGAGACAAATTTCATGGAGGTTATAGACAAACATATACCAATGAAAAAAAAGAAAGCCATCAACAAACCAGCCCTATTCATCAAACTTTACGAAGGGAAATATATAAAAAAAAGAATGGCATATAACAAATATCAAAATTATGAAACTAAAACAAATTGGAAACATATTGAAAACAAAGAAATTTGGTTAATAAAATTAAAAAGAAATCCACCAGAAATTATTTCATGGATTCTGAAAAGATGTGTAGGATGACCTAACAGCAAAGATTTTTGGCCAACAATCAAGCCCTTCTTAACTAACAAAGGTTCACATTTTTCAAAAATCTAATACTATGTGAAGACAATAAAATAATTAATAATCAAAATGAAGTTGCTGAATTATTTAATAACTTTTTTTATAAATGTTGCCAAAGATATCGGCTCAAAAGATACTATCATCGATGAACACCATCCCAGTATTAAAGTTATAAAAGAAAACAAACAAGAAAAAAAAGAACTATGTTTTAGCCCAGTAAATTCTGAGTTTGTAATAAAATTAACATTAAAAAGTCAACAGGAAAAGATGGAATCTCTTCAAAAATATTAAAATTATCTGAATTTGAACTATCCAATCCAATTTCTAAATTAATAAATAAATCATTTAAATCAGCTGTTTTCCCAGATAAATTAAAAGAAGCACAAGTAATACCTCTGCATAAAAAATCAAACACTATAGATAAAGGAAACTATAGACCTGTAAGTATATTGCCCATGATTTCAAAATTTTTTGAGATGTCTATAAAAAATCAACTTGTGGAATATTTTAATTAATTTTTCCATATATTTCTGTCACCTTTTCGAAAAGGATACGGATGCCAAACCGCTTTATTAAAAATAATTGAAGATTGGAAAAAGGCTTTAGATCAGAACAAATATGTAGCAGATATATTAATGGATGTGTCCAAGGCTTTTGAATGCCTATCGCATGACCTCCTCCTACTAAAATTAAAATCCTATGGTGTCTCCGCTTCTTCTCTTAAACTTTTGGAAAGCTATTTAACTAATAGAAAACAGTGTGTTAAAGTAGGTACTAATTCAAGCTACTGGCAAACAATGTTTAAAGGGGTGCCACAAGGGTCGATATTAGGGCCAACATTATTTAATATCTTTTTAAATGACATTTACTATTTTATTCATAAAAGTGAACTCTATAATTATGCAGATGACAACACCCTTTCATACGCATATAAAGATTTAGATAAATTAATTAATATTCTAGAAGATGAAAGCAAAATTTTGATAAATTGGTCCTCAATAAATAAAATGAAAGCTAATCCAGAAAAATTTCAAGCAATAGCTGTAGGTAAAAAAACTAAAGACAAAAACCCAAAATTTAAATTAGAAGGTAATGAAATAGAATGTGAAGATAACGTTAAACTTCTAGGCGTAACAATAGATTTTAAACTAAATTTCAATGAACATGTCTCTATAATATGTAAAAAGCATCCAAACAGCTAAATGTATTAAAATAGGAAAACACCTGACTAAACTCGGAAACAATTGACAATATATTATTCGTTCATAATGTCCAACTTTAAATACTACCAACTAGTTTGGCACTTTTGTGGGGAGGTTAATACAAAAAAGATAGAGAAAATTCAAGAGAGAGCACTAATGTTTATCTATGAAGACTATTCAGCAAGTTATGAAGATCTACTCTGCAAATCAAAATTACCATCTTTAAAAATAAGAAGAATGCGATCATTTGCTATTGAAGTTTTCAAAATTATTAATAAAGATTGCCCTGTTTATCTTCATGATTTAATACACTTAAAGGAAAACACTTACTCTTTCAGATACCAGAATACAGCCGACCTACCACATGTTAGAACAACTGCATTCGGCCTACAATCTTTAAGGTATGCAGGTGTTAAGCTTTGGAATGACCTGCCAGATGAGCTACGTAAGCAATCATCTTTAAATCAATTCAAAAAATTGATAAATTCTTGGTTTGGCAGCTCATGCCAATGTTTTGCCTGCAAAACCAGTTAATTTCTGTTCATTATCTTTTGTTTAATGCTTTATTTTCAGCATGGTAATTTTATTTTGTTATCTTTACTATAGTGCTTCTGCTGCTTTGTGCTAATTTTAGTAACTAACTAATCTATATGTGCTTTTAATGTGCAAACCATTTTATTTTTGCTTTTATGTTTTTATCTCACAAGTGCATGTTTCAGTGTGTGTTTAATTTGTAAGATACTTTTAAGAACTTTTGTGCTGCATGCTTATATACTGATATGAACTCTTGCTTTATATGTTTAATTTATGTGTGCATGACTTGATATGTATGTTTTGTTTTATTTGTTGCTCTGTCGGTTTTAAAAGCCTTCTAAAATTCAAACTGACCACACACACGATACACGCACGCACGATACACGCACGGTGAATGCACGATACACGCACGGTGAATGCACGATACACGATACACGCACGATGAGCGATGATCGTTACACGGAGGATTAACGAAAAATGAATGATGAATGATGAACGCACGATACACGCACGATGCACGATGAATGATGAACACACGATACACACACGATACACGCACGGTGAATGATTCATTGACGAATGAACGATAAGCGCTTAATACACGGTTCTCAAAGCCATTTTATTTGGAATTGCATTTAAAATTGATGTATGATAATGAAAATCTATAAGGGTATACAAATTTTAGATATCTCGCTTTCTGTGTTGATTGGTCGACAGTTTTACTAAACACTCCATGTATTAAATAAATTAATTGTAGTATAGTATTTCCAATATCAATGAGTGTTGTCAAATTATAAAACTCATCGATTTTATAATTCTACTTAATATAAATAATTTATAAATTGCTACGTTTGAAAGAGGGGCGATTCCAGCCATTTTTAAAAAGAGGGTTCTCAACCCAGGATAAAAGGGGTGGTTTTAACCATATGTCCCCATTCAAATGCATTGACCCCCCCCCCCTCCTTCTTTTTATCTGCCTATTTGTATCCTTAACTAATTTATTATCATATGTTTACGTTCCGAAATTTAGGAAATATTTGTATGTTTCGAAGTTTAGTATGATGTCCATTATCACTGAACTAAAATTCATTTTTGTGTAGGGACCAGCTGAAAAACGCCTTCGGTGCGGGATTTTCTACCCATTGGTTGCCTTCGACTGTTTTCTGCCTATACGTCTAAACACTGCTAAGGACTTATAATATGCCACTAAGGACTAGAAAGGACGTGTTACTTGTACTCTGTTTTCATACTATGGTAGAGATAGATAGATTTTTATTACATAAATTCCAATTTTTAAAGAAAAAGAATCACCATTAAATGAGTAGTTGAACAATATTTGGAACGTGCCGGTTTTTCCTTGATATTGCCGAAAATCAGTGATCCGACTGACACGAGCGAACTTATATAACAAC